CCCCCCGTGCCCCCTGCCCAGGCTCTGGGGATGCTGCTGTGGCACAAACACGACGTGGAGAAGTCCTTGGCCGACCTGGCCAACTTCACTCCCTTCCCGGACGAGTGGACGGTGGAGGACAAGGTTCTGTTCGAGCAGGCCTTCAGCTTCCACGGCAAAAGCTTCGCCCGCATCCAGCAGATGGTGAGAGCCCCCCCAAAATCTGCCCCCCAAAACCCCCCCGCCCCGGGGGGAGGCACCAGGGGTCACCCCCGCCCCCCCCTCCCCGGCCAGCAGCGGCTTTTGGGGATTTTTGGGGGCTTTGTTCGGGCTTTTTTTGGGCTCTTTGGAGGTGTCACTGCTCCTTTGAGACCCCTGGGGTGTCGCCCAGGGGGGTTTGGGGGGGGTCTGGGGGTCACGGGACCCTCTTGGGATGAGGAGGTGCCACCCTTTTCCCCCCCCCAATAGGAGATGGTATCTCCCATCCTCTGTTGTCCCCCGTGCTCACCACGTGGTATTTTCCCCCATTTCTGGGGGTTCCCCTGATTTTGGGGGTCCCATCCGCCCATCTTTAGGATTTCCCTGCAATTTCCTTCCTTCCTTCCTTCCTATTTCTAGGAGTTCTTTTCCTTCATTTTGGGGAATTTCCCCCTTTTATTTGTGGGTTTGCCCCCTCTTGTCTCAGGGGTCTTCCTGCACCTTCTCCCCCCCATTTATTGGGGTCAGCCCTCCCTTGCTTTTCCCTCTCACCCCATCCTTAGGCCCAAATCACCCCAAAACCGCCCCTTTGATCCCCCCCAAACCCCCTCTGTGCCCCCCAGCTCCCGGACAAGCTCATCCCCAGCCTGGTCAAATATTATTACTCGTGGAAGAAAACGCGGTCCCGCACCAGCGTCATGGACCGCCAGGCCCGGCGCCTGCTGGGCCGCCGGGACCGCGACGACAGGTACGGGCCCCCCAAAATCCCCCCCTGAACCCCCCCCCCTAAACCCCCCAAAACCTCCCCAAAACCCCCGGCTCACCTCTGGCCCTGCAGCAACGATGAGACCGACGAGCACCGACCCAACCCCGATGGGGACGTGGAGCCTGCAGACCCCAAAAAAGAGGTTTGGGGTCACAGGGGGGAGGTTGGGGGGTTGCTTTCAAGGGTGGGGTGACCTGAAAGGGAAACAAGGGGGGAGATGGGGAAAACCCCGTAAATGTGGGGCCAGACCCCCAAAAATGGGGGTGAATCCCTAAATATGAGGAGGGAGGAACTGGGGAAAGGAGGGAAACTCTAAAGATGGTGCGAGACCCCCAAAATTTGGCAGAATCTTTGGGAATGGGGGGGGGGGAAACTCCTGAAAGGAATGAGGGGGGAGCTGAGGGTGGGATGGAGAGACCCCAAAAATTGTGGGGAAACCCCCAGAAATGGGGGGGGAAGGTGGCGCCCCCTGCTGGGTGGTCAGGGGGTTTCCCCGACCGCAACCAACGAACCAATTAAGGAGCGGAAGCAATTAACTGATGAACTAATCGCAGCCGTGCTACCCCAAGGCGGGGCCGCGCCCCAAGGCGGAGCCGCAGTACCGGCACCACCCCCCAGCGCGGCAGCGGCGCCGCCCCCCCCGCGGGATGCGCCTGAGCCGCGAGGACGTGGCCGAGGTCACGGCCAACCCCGACCTGGGTGCGCGGGCCCTGCGCCAGCTCGACTGCCAGCTGGTGGCCCTCAAACGCCAGGTGAGCACCCAGCACCCCTCGGGACCCTCCCCCCCCTGCAGGGGTTGGGGTGACCCCCCTGAGCCCCCTCCCCAATCCCTGCAGGTGCAGCGCATCAAGCAGATCAACAGCGGCCTCAGGCAGGCGCTGGACGGGGGCCTGGAGGGGCTGCGGCCTCCTGAGGTGGGTCCCTGTCTCCCCATGGTGTCCCCACGGTGTCCCCACCGTGGCACAGCAGCCCCCGGTTGTGTCCCTGTGCCCCCCCAAAATCACCTCCAACCACCCCCCAGGGCAGCAGCAAGTTCAGCTCCCGCTGGACCACGGATGAGCAGCTGCTGGTGGTGCAGGGTGAGTGTCCCCCTCCCCTCGTTAGTTCATTAACCTCATTAACGCGGTGTCCCCTGTCCCTCACTCGCTGTCCCCGTGTCCCCAGCCCTGCGCCGCTACGGCCGCGATTTCCCGGCGGTCGCGGCCGTGCTGGGCAACAAAACAGCGGCGCAGGTTCGGAGCTTCGTGCTGGGCCCCCGGCGCCGCCTCGGCCTCGAGCGGCTCCTGCAGGAGCGCCAGGGCCAGGGGGAGCCCCCGGGAGCCGCCCCCGGGGACCGCCCCGAGCCCGGGGAGGATGAGGAGGTGAGGAAGGGCTGCCCTGGGAATGGGGGCGGGTCTGAGTCCCAGTCCCTGTCTGGGTGCTTGGACTGGGCCCAGATCCACATCAGGGCCAGTCCCCCACCCTGCCCACATAATGACTCCATCCCAATCAATTAATCAATCAATCACACCCAATCAATCAGTGACTATGCGCCACCCACATCACAGCCACGCCCATTCCAGCTCCACCCAAATCCAGCTCCGCCCATTCCAGCCCCACCCAATTCCAGCCACGCCCATTCCAGCCCCGCCCATTCCAGCCCCGCCTCTCTCTCCACAGGTGCAGATCATGGGCGTGTCCCGCCCCGCTGCTGCGCCCGGCCCCGCCTCCAGCCCCGCCCCCCGCGCTCCCGCGGCCGCCCCCGCCCCTCCAGCCCGGCCGGGCCCCGCCCCCGCTGCTCCGCCCTGGTCACGCCCCTTCCGCCAGGCCCCGCCCCCCGGCCGCCGGCCACGCCCCGCCCCGCTGAGCGCCCCCTGCTGGGCTGGAGGACCGGGGAAGTCCCGGCGGGGGGGTCCCGGTTTGCAATAAAAGTATTTTAGTACAGCGGCTGCGAGTGCTGGGGGCGCTGGGAGCACTGGGGCTGCACTGGGCCCTCTGGTTTGTACTGGGCAGGGGGGTCTGTAGTGGGAGCCCAGCCCAGACTGGGCGCACTGGTCTGTACTGGGCCCGGCGCTCTGCAGCAGGACCCCCGATCCCCCTCGAGCACCACTCGGAGGCCGCGGATCTTTGCTGCAAAGTTTTTAATTAGAACCTGGAAAATCCACCACGAGGGGGCGTGACCTGGGTTTGGCCCCTCCCCCGGAGTGTCCCCGCCCCCAGGGGCGGTGCCACAGCAGGACAAAAAAAAAGGGGGGGGGGGCGACGACGACACCCCGCCCCCACCCCGGAGCCACCCCCGGCAGCAGCAGCGCCCCCGCCCCTCCCCCCCGGGGGCCTTCCTGAGTGCGGGGGGAGGGGACACCCCTGTCCCCAAGGGGGGAGGGGGGACAGGGGACCCCGGGATCCCCACGGGGGGAGGGGACACACCCCACCCTTCCCCCCCCTAAGGCCACCGAGGGGCCCTGGGGGAAGCCCCGGAGTGTCCCCGTGTCCCCCCATAAGGCTCAGGGACACCCAGGATATCCCCGGGTGTCCCAGGATGTCCCCACATGGCCCTAGGCCACCAAGGATGTCCCCAAGGGCCACCCGGGATGTCCCCGGAGGTTCCTGGGCCGTCCACGATGTCCCGATGTCTTTGGGAGGCCCAGGACTCCTCAGAAGGGCCTTGGGCCACCACTCCTGTCCCCTGGGTCACCCAGGACGTGTCCCTGTCCTCACACGGGCCTCGTTCCCCTCCCAGAAAATCCCTCCAGGTCCCTGGGCCACCAAGATGTCCCCAGCAGGTCCCAGGGTCCCCATGAAACCCTGGCCCTCGTCCCCACATCCTCACAAGGCCCTGGACACCGCACAACGTCCCCAGGTGCATCCAGGTGGTCCCAGGCTCAGCCAGGTGAGCCCCAGCTCCATCCAGGTGGTCCCAAATCCATCCAGGAGCCCCCGAGACCCATCCTGGCGCTCCCGTGTCCCCCCGTGGGTGTCCCCTCCGTCTCTGTGGCTCAGAGCCGGAGCTCCTTGGCCACCTCAGAGGTGCTCCATGGTCGCCATGTCCATGTCCCCAGAGCTGGAGCTCCTTGGCCACCTCAGAGCCACTCCTGGGTCGCCGTGTCCATGTCCCCAGAGCTGGAGCTC